ACCTTTAAACACCCTAAACGTACCCAAAATCCCCAGCTTTTTGGTGGAGGGTATAATTAAATAGAATTTGGTGTCTCCGTCGAATATTTCGAGGTATTTTAAAGGGAATGGAATTATACAATCCTTGGGCCATTTCATTCCTGAAACGGTTTCTTTTTGTTTTTGTTCGCTCCGAAAAATAACTAGATCATTCATTTAGTTCCATAGTCCCAATTAGTACAATTGTTCATTCCTATTAAACTATATGAGTAGGAGAGGAAACCTTAACGATTTGAGTAAAATGAAGTAGATGAACGAAAAAAATTGGACTAGTACCGTTAGTCCTTTTGTTGAGTAGTAACTTTGAACTAGTAGTTCACTCTGGAACGACACTAGGGTGTAAAACAAACATCTAGTGATGATTGACTCAAGAATAAAAATATGTTCCATGAACCGATGAACCTTCATGAACACGAGAGGGAAAATTAACGGTGGAGCAAAAGGTAACTAGGTAGGAACCTCAGGACCCGGAACTAGAACCGATCGTACGTTTTGCGGAATAGTTACTGTGAACGATTTCGTTCTGGAATGACACAAATCCACTGGAGGTTTTAAAACACATCTAATGATGGTTGGAATAAATTTAAAATTTTGTGATTTTGAGCATCGCCTTTCGCCCTTGAATTCGTACAAATTTAACAAGTCTCTGGATGTAACAACTAGGACTTAAATCAAATTTCCTTAAATTGTTTCTTTGATTTACAAATACGTCAAAATGTTCATAGGTTTAACATTTAAAATAATTTAATGCCTTCGTCTCCGCCAGTAAAATAAATTAAATAAAAAACAAACTTTGGATAAAGCTCAGCTAAAAAAATTATATTTGCGAAAACAGTGAACAATAAACAGTGAAATTTTAAAATCTATGCCATGGGTGTTTTCATTTTATGTACAATTTAATTTATTGACTGAAAATATATACTATCGGCCAACACAAAGTCTTTATAAGACAATAACTTTGAATTATCAAGATGACCATAATAAAAAAAAAATATGTCAAAGGGAGAGGTCACACTCCCTCTCGCCAAAAATAAGGCTATTTTATAGCTTTCAAAAATATGTACTGGTTTTATTGCCAGAAATAAAAGAATTCAAACAGTTACTTAAATGAAAATAATGATTTTAAAATACAACTAAGCATTGGAACAAATAAAATGCAACCTTCATTCATATTATTTAGATTCTTAAATATGAAACTTAATAAAAAAAAATTTATTTGAAAAAGAACATTGAACACCATGTGTAATGTCTGTCGAATGTGTTCTGTCAATAGAGTATATTTTAAACATCTTCCTGTCAGTAGAAGGTCTCCTGACATGTCTTTTGTTGATATATTCTTGTTGAGAAGCCTTCTTCCCATAAAAAATCTTTATTATCCCAACCACTACTACGGAGACTATGTAATGATTTTAAAAAATAACTTATCCTGTCATAACGAAATCTAAAACAAAAACAAAAATACAATAATATTTAATATATTTATTTGAAATTACAAGTAAGTTTTAGCATAAACATAAATAAAAAAAAAACATAAAATTGTAATTCCATTAAAAGCCTCTTTAATATGAAAACACTTAATTTCTATTGAAATGCTATTTTTGGTAAGTACATAAAATATTTCTCTCCCAGGTATCTATGAGTGCTTGTCTTTGCAGTCCTATACATTATTTGTTACAATATATGTTCATGTATTTTTGCAACGACAAAAAAGCATGCATATGAGGGTACGTAGTATGCAACAATAACACCCTCTTCAGTTTGCAATGAAATGTAACCGCATTAAAGCCGATTTAACCGGGCAACATTGTTTGCATAGTCTGATGGAGGGGAAGAATAATGACACGAGTTGTTAACTTAACAAAAGAATCCATTACGTCTACCCCATCTGTTGTCTGTGTGTATTTCGGCTGTCATTCTTGGGAGGATTTAAATTCTTTTTCAATTCTTTATAAGAATAAACCGGGTTTTTTGTTTAACCTTCATGAGATTGTAAAAGAATTACTTTAAATGAAGATTATGAATACATGGTAATTTAAATTTATTTTAAAATTTTTGTGTTGGTCTTGGCTAGGATAATATATTTGATAATGTCGGAAAATATGACATTATATTCAATTAGGTTGTTCATTCTCTAAAATTGAAATTACCGACACTCAGGCTAGAAAACTCAGTGTAAGGACTTAAAATACTGAAAATCAGGAAACCGATATCTTAATCTACAACTACTTCGATAGGAAAATTCACACAAACAGGGACGGTACATTTATATAAGGGTTCCATCAGAACTTGGACACACACTGGTGGCCTGGTGGCTAAATTTCAAGAAATGTATAACCGCATAACTTTTTTAAAAATAAACAATTCATGTAGTTTTTTTAGTTTTAAATCTGGTACTTTTTTTCTTTATTCACTAAAAAAACTAAAGCATTAATGCAAAATTCATTATGAAAAAAATTCTAATTCACGGATAAGGGAATTTGACTCAATTTTTGCTTGGACAAAACTAATGCAACTCTACAGTACAAAAATATTAGCTCTAAAATTTTAGTTATTTTTACTGTTTTCACTACTATCTTTTGGCTTCTGCACCTATTTCGGTCCTAATAGTTAATTTTTAAATGATTTAACTACAAAACTACTTAAAAATATATAAATGTCTAGAAACAAATACAGTACACCGATAAAACAGCTAATTAGCAATGATTGTGAAAATAATGTATCACAGAAAATTATTTTGGAGACATATTCCATAAAAAAATAGTGATTTCTCAAATTATATGTAGGATTATTGACTTCGCACAACAATTAACAAAATGGCGGAACTTTGAACAATTTTTTTTTTTTGGAAAATCGCCTATTTTTTACCACAAACTAAGTTAAAAAATAAGGAAGTTCTTCGCCGATTGGCTTTATCCTAGTTCATACGAGAGCTATACACTTATAGAGAAACGTGTTTTTGAGTTATCGTGCCCGTGCAAAAGAGAAAAACGCGTTTAAAGTTTGAGACGCCCTTTAGCCGTCACTTGATGCTGAAATATTGTAGGGACATTCTTGAATTAGTGTACATTCGAATTAAATCAAAAGAGTTCAATGGAATTTGTGAGACGGTTATCGTTGGATGTAACCTCAAGAATAGAGCATGGACGAGCTATGGTAGCAGGAAACTGTTAAGAAAGTTCATTAATTTCTGAAAACAATTGGAAAGCCATATAACCTTTTGTCAAAGCTCGGATGAATTTAATTTAAATACTAATGACTCAGACACATAAAAAAAGACAGGGTTTTATAATGACCAACACAATGATCAGATCTTTATACTATAGAAAAATCGATGGATTATCATAGATAGCAAAATCAAAAGAGATTCACAAGCAAACAGACATAGCCTCTTCTCAGAGGTTCAGGATGCAAAGATAGTACACCCAAGAGGATCAAGTTGAGCATCTTATAGATTTATTGCCTCGTAGGTGTTCTTTCGTAATAAAAAAAAATAATGGTTATGCTGTCCATTACTAGAAAAATTTGCTTATTTATAAGAAAAAAAAGTTGTTTGGTCAAAACTAAAAATTGGATCAATTTAGTTTTCCATAGAATATTCTTTTGTTAAAAAAAAACTATTTTATTTTCAAAAAAGTTACAGGTCATTTATTCAGTTGCTTTAGATTTGGCCGCCAGTGTACGTGCAAAAAGGCTTACAATTTTATTCTGGTTAAGCGGACCCATCCTATTCTTAGATTCAAAAAAAAATAATAGTTTTGTTTTTTTGATTAAAATTCGGCTTAAGCCTTCAATATACCGAAAAATCATATATATATATATATATATATATATATAGAAACAATCCAGGAATCAGGCACGTACACAGAATTTAAAATAAAAAATTTCTTGTATGCATTAAAATTATTATTGAGAATGACCGTGCCTCTTGGATCGAAAGATGAAAATAGAATAAATTGAATTCCTTCGAATAGTTCGAGGTGTTGCAAATGACTTGTTGGAAACTCACCCTTATGGCAGGGGTTATTAAAAATCTGTACCATTCTATTATTATTATATTGAACTAATCTAGAAAACATAAAAAATCATGTCAAAACAATTTTATAGAAATGTTGCTACATAAAGTTTAAAATTGCTCCACATACATAGAGTTGCAGCATATAAAATAAAGTGAAATTATAACACATATTTTTTACGTTAGCAAAGAAAGAAAAATTTTTGCAACAATTTGTTCAAAACTTCTTGCCACAAATGCAGTTCTTCTTCAATAGCGAAAAAGTTTTTCCCGCTTTTTTCGAAACGATAATTCAATTTTAATAAAGTTTTCTTTAGACGATATCCTTCAATACAACTAACCAGCCGTAAGACTTGAACCACATTGCACAATACAAACATACACACGCACCCACTATCACCTATGTGTGTGCGCGTGTGCATGAGGGCGGCGGGTGTATTAATTTTCCATTAACCCAAATCTATGAAAGAAACAAAAACAAACAATTGAGAATAAGGAAAAAAAGCAAAAACAAACACATGGTAGAATAAGAACAAGAACGAGAAGTAGCAACCATGTTTATATTTACTACGTAATGGTTAAGCTGCTGCTGGGGCATCCGCGAATAAGCCCACTTCTCTATCAAAGATGAAGAGATCTTCTGCCTATAAGCCTCCCACACACACACACACACTCAAAGATAAATATCAGCTTAAAAGGGGAAATAAAGTTAAACTTTTGCACACACACACACACATCAGCACCACCAACCACACAATATATGTATGTGTGCTGCAAAGTTTTCTTTCGGCTGATGTTGCAAATTAAATAGAACGCACTCCCATTAATATTAAAATGTTTTTGGATTAAGTGTTTTGTGTTAGTATACAATATCATAACAACTTGTAAATCTTTGCTAGGAAAATAATTAGGTATTTTGAAAACTGGAGTATTTTAATCGGAAACTTACCTCAAAAGTTGTAAACACAATTTTCTCTATCGATCCGAAATAACGTTCCCAGAGCACTTGTGTTTGTTGGCGTAATGCAAATATTCGTTCATCCGATATTGAACGAACGACTTCAGGAACCTGAAAATAAAGAGACAAAATTATTTGATATAAAACTAAAAAACTTGTTGATTTTGATGTTCATATTTTATGAATAATAACAAATTGTAATATACATTTTCGGTTACTTTGTATACGAATATTTTCAGTATTAATTGTTCAGATAAAGATTAAGGCCTCAATTTACTTTTTGAATACTTCCATTGTAAGCATGTCACTTGGTTCAAAAAGGCTACTTTGTATTCGCAAATGTACTCGAATTACTCGCCGCTCAGGAATATATGGAAATTATTTCGGCAAGGGATATCAAAACATGTATGGTGGTAGACATGTATGTTATATATGTTGGTAATATGTATCAGTCATTTTGGATTGTCAGTTTGTTTTTAATAAATAAAAAGGTTAGTCGTATTTTCTTGTTTTCTTCGGCCTACTATGATCAGAAAAAAATTTCAACTGTGGTGTACCTACACGTTTTAAGGAAGCACATTATTTTCAAATATAAAGGCGTTGTTCAACTTTTTACTGCAATCTCTGGAACCTTATGGTAATAAGAAATACTATCTTGAAGTTATGCACCGCTTGCGCGAAGCAATTCCTCAGAATTGTGGAATTGTGGAAACCTCAATCATGGGTATTATAGCTTTGTGCAGCCCCAAGAGTTTGTAACGCAGCGAAATATTGGTCCTAGATCCAACATTAAGTATACCGATCGTAATACTTCGACTAGCTGAGTCGATTTAGACATGTGTGTCCGTCCGTCTGTCCATTATTATTTGTAAACACGATACAGACCCCAGTTATGGGCCAATCGTCACGAAATTTTCTGTCGTTCTAGAGGCCACAATTATGACCCGAACACCACGAAATTTTACACCAGGAAGGGCATCTGGCCAAAGAATAAGCATGACTGATTTGATTAAGATCGGTCATTATTTAGCGAGTCAAACAGATCCAAACTTTTGTGTGAAAACTGACAACATTTGTATCTATGGTGATATATTTACTCCTGAAGGACATAGACCCGAGAAGTTGATAGTAGATCCAGTTGTATGTTCTCGGATGTGGGAGTAATACGTAAATATTTAAAAGTGTCTATGAGTGATGATATTATTGAGTATTACTATCACACATCTAGAGGGAGAAAATGTAACACTGATCGCTTTGAAATTTTACATGAAGTTCCATTTATGGCCAAGGACGACGCCTATAATTTTCGGTGATGTTGAGAAGATATTAAGTGGGTGCAATGAACCGAAAACTTTATTGTTGTCAGATTTTATATACAGAAAATCACATATTTTATACAGTGAAGAGGATCCGACGAAATTCCGAGGGTCAAATCAAATTTTTATTTTATGGCGTAAATATTCACCTCGGGAAAACAATATTTGGAAAATATGCTAGTGTTAGAAAGTGGAGCTGTTGACCTAAAATCGGTCAAGAGGGTGCAGATATCGCAAAATATTGCCCAGGATCAAAAGTTAGACTTTCGTGATAGTTATGTAGGGTATCATATGGTCAGCCCCTCCGACTATACTGACAACAGCTCCGCTACGGCATCTTTTCCAAATCATGTTTTCCAGGAGTATAACATTACTCCAAAAGATTCAAATTTTGTTATATTACACAAAAAATGTTTTGGTTCATTTGACACGCCATTCGAATTAGTATGTCAGTTCGCCTTACCCATGGAAAATTTCTTTTAAAATAGTGTTGTCTAAACCAGACAAAAATAAAGTTTTCGGTCCATTTCGCCCACGAAGTATCGAAAATTATAGGCTTCCTCTTTAAATATATATGTCATTCCTAAACGGATGGTCGGTCGGTCGGATGGACACACATATCTAGATCGACTCAGCTAGTCGAGATATGAGATCGGTATATCCCTAATTGTTATGCGGACACGACGTCGTGCGCGCACCCTAGCATGTGTTCATTCGTTGGCTATTAAACAACGACTGAATGAAAGATCATAACTATGCGTGTGAGTGAAAAGCTACTTTAAAGTATACTGATGGCCTTCATTGGTCTAGGATCAATATTTCGCGGGCCACAAAAAGCTATAATACCCTTACAGCAGACTTGTGTAGGGTATAATTAAATATCCAAAATCCCCAAAATACCGAATAATGGGGATCGGTTTGTAAGGGTCCCACCCCAAAACATAAGTTATTATTGACAATTTTTGGTACAAAGATTTCACACCCAATCCGAATTCATAATACTAAATTACAGGCAACTTGGTTGATGAACGCGTAACAAATCATCAAAAAACAAAATTTAGGGGGAAATGTTATACGGGGACTACCCCAAATAGCAGACGAAAATGGATCATTTTTTCTAGGTCATTTCATGTTAATATTTTTTCCCTTTATAACAATTTAATAGTTCTGGATTTATTGATCTGTCGTTGTAAACTTTTCATGGTGTTGCCCTACAAAATTTATTTTCCTGGAAGCTGTGTCATCTTTGATGTACAAGAATTGGGAAGGACAGGATGAGGCAACCCAATTGTTTATGTTTTTTGTGACAAGCTATTCATTTCACGCCCTTCGAGTTGACGTAAAAGTCCCTTGAGACGTCAACGTCCGCAGCTAGAAAAATATAGTCCTAAACGTCGACCATTGAGTCGCATATTAAAATAAAATAGATCCTTTTGAAGATTTGAATTCTAACCAGGCTGATAGCAATGATAATTACCATGGACTTCATTGGTATATAGAGCTTTAAACAAAAGGGCCGAAGCTGTCCCAGTCTCCCCTAAGAAAAATCGGTGTGCCGTTGTTCGAAAAATCGAAAAGAAAATTGAAATGATAGGGTTTTATATGAGAAGGTTTATTCTGAAATTCGCACTAAAAGTGCACAAAAATTACTAAGTAGTACAATTTTTATTGCTACGAATAGAATTTGCAGATTGGATAATATAAAACATACTTTTGTGTATGGACTACAAAGTCCATACACAAAGGATATGGCGGAGTTTAACAATTCGTAGATAAATGTATGAAAACAATGGAGCTAAATTTAGAACTCTGAAGCATTCGTACTACCACAATATCACAGATATCGAACACCACAAAAACACGTCAAATCACTTCAAGAGTTACCAGACAGATCAGTACAAAAATCGGTATTATTATCCCAAAGTCCTATTAAAAAATTAGCAATCAGGATCGGTTTCCCGCGAATAAATGCTATTACAATGAGATCTATTAATGATAAACATTTCATACGAATCCGACAGTTTTTCATAGTCTACAAATAATACGATGATATATTAGTTAAGTAGATATACGATTTTCTGACCAACCATCGGGTAAAAGTAGGAAGTGACGTTGATTGTGTCTGAGGATCATATGTGAGATCTACATTTGTGTCGACTAGGTAATGAAAGACGCACAATGGCTGGAGATAAATGGAAGACATGCCAAAAAATTCATTTCACTGAAGCCATGTAATCTCAAAAATAATCTACAATAACCGCAAACAAGGATATATAAAGTTTTTAATGTCTTGTGTGTATTGGGACTTCGACCATATAGTCACATATTTAATCGAATCGATGATGGTATCTACACCAGCTTGATTTTATTATTTTTGTTTTTTTTTTTTATAGTTCTTATAGTTTCTAGAATTCCTCCAGTGATATTAATTTCTCACTGGATGGCAAACATATCCAATGTCAACACACGACAACTAATTTGTAGACAAAAGCAATGACAGGATCATAACTTTTTGTTTTATAATTGCCAATCATACCAATTGATACACAATTAATGTTTACATAGCTCCGAACTATTGATTCTCTAAATTATTAAACACTGATGGAATTGTTATTTTTCCGCCCTTCTCATTCGGTTTCTTTCTTTTTTTTCTATTTGTAATGACATTCACATGAAATAGACATTAAAGCAAAGACTGGCATTTAATTCAATATGAGCACAATCACGTTTTATGACATCGTATAATTCACTTTAATCGACCAGTCAATGGATATCCATGGACAATATGGTCATGCGAGGCGGGGCAAGGGGAACGACGACGATTTCATTTCTTTGGAATTCGAAATGGAGAAACTGAGAAAACAAATAATGATCGCCATGACTAATTGATAAACCTTTGACATTTTCATGCTGGTGAACACTCAACCAATTATGTGATGTTTAAAGGAAGTGTTTTATTGGCACATGGACGGACAGACGGACGAATGTACAAATGAGGCAAAAAGAGCCAGCAGGAAAATAGCTTTACTGTCCGTTTTCCCTGTGTCTGTCCTGACTGAATACTTCTAACGTCATGACAGTATTTTTCCTTTGCTTTTTTCTGTTCTGTTCTGTTTTGTTTTTTTTTTCTTCGAAAACTAACGGAAGCAACTCAACAAGGACAATGACGGCAAACACCAACCAGCCAGCCAACCAAGCCAGAACGACGTATGCATTATTGCTTATAATTTTTCTTGAAAGATACAATTACGCTTTCAGTTCAACTTAATTAACTCAATATCCTGTCAATACAATCGTGCCAAAGAACAAATACTAATGCACACACCCCGACTTGTAACCAAACATACACACACGCACATACTCACAGAGATATATGAACTCTGCTATCATCGCCATAGTCCTTTAGAATACCCTTTTACCCTTTTGGCCAAGTAATACAAAAACTTTGCAGCATGTCCGTGTGTCTTTCTGTCTGTCTGTCTGTGTGTCGCTCGCTTGGTGTGTCCTTTAGTGCAATTGAAGAGAGTTGTTCATGCAAGCAGTTGTCTAAGTGGTTTTTATCGACAAACGTTGAACAATTGTATGAGCAATTTCATAACTAGTTTTTTTTTTTTAATTATTTGGATATGATTGATTTTGGGTCAACTGATATTTCCATTGGAAAGTTAGCTAAACCTATAAACGTAAAAGTTTATGAAGAAAATTAAAAGTCGATTTTGGAAAGGCGATTTTACGATTTCCTTATAAATCAAAACTCGACTTCGACTTTTTGACTTTTCAATACAAAAAAAAAGA